TTTACAGTGAACTATTCCAGTAGCGACGCCACAGATAATTACCACAGGCGTAGAGTTGCAATAGTGCTTGATAATAGAATTGCGATGTCTGTTATAGATTACATACCCGTTTTAAACAGAGTACATAGTAAAGTTAGCGGGTCAACCTCTTAATATAAATCTAATCCAAGTTTACGCACCCACCACATCTGATAAACCGGAAACTGAAATTTCAGATTTCTATAAAGACATAAAGGAAACATTAAAAGTATCAAAGAAAAACGATATCAACATCATAATGGTCAATTTTAATGGCAAAGTCGGTAGGGGTAGATGTGGTAATGCGGTCGGTGATTTCGGTCTCGATAACAAAAATGATAACAGAGCTATATACTTTTATTGGACTACTACTAACTGCAGAGCACGTGAGTGCAAACATCTATAATGTAGATATACTTTTTAGTAGGTTTTATGGACCTACTATATTTAAAGCTACCATAGGGTTAAAACGATTTAAATATTTGCTAAGATTGGTTCGATTTGACAATAAGGGTACAAGGATATTTACCAGTAAAACATTTAGGTAGGTAAGCAACTTGCTCGATATCGGGATAGGTGTTTTTTTAATCAGTATGTATGACTCGGAAACATATTACTCTTTAGGTGAAATACCATATACAAGAAACAATAGAAATACAGTAGCCAAAGGTCTTGCATCTCAAGTCGTAAAGCTACTCGTTATGTCCTATTATAAATCCAAGAGGAATGTGACTTGCGATAACTATTTCACTGATCTTGATCTTGCACGTGAGATACTTAAAAATTCTTACTGGCAAATAAATTAATGACTCACTCTTGTGGGTAGAGTGAAAAAAAATAAGAGATTTGTTCCTCGGAAATTTCTACCAAACAAGAACCGTTTAGAAAAATTTTTAATTTTCGGATTCATTTGAAAACCATATATTGTTTCTTATGTTCCGAAAAAAACAAAGGAGTGTCCTAGTCCTATCTATCATGCATCACAATGCTTACTGTGCAGATGATGTTGACAAAACACAGAATATGTATTATTATAATAGTACAAAATTTATTGTCAATACGCTAGACGAAATGGTTCATAAATCTGTACCCCAGAAGTAAACTGTCGTAACTACAAAAATTGCGATTTTCAGGTTATTGTCGTAACTGCATCAAAAAATATTAAACTTTTTAGTGGTAAAGTATCATAACTGCAATATGTAAGCAACGTCAAAAACACTGTTTTTAAACTGTCTTATAGTAGAGAACTACTTAGAAGGTTAACTATCTTAATATACCTTACGATTGTTTACTTCTCACTTCACAGCTTTGAACACCTCTAGAAGTAAACTGTCCCAATGTATTATACGATTGTTTACCTCGCACCACTTCCTTCCATTTGATTCGGCTGTACTCGCACTCCTAGAGCAGTTACGACTTGACTCGTATTCAGTAAAAAAACGTACATTTTTTTTATGTGTCTAATTAAATAAGAGTGTAAATTGGGTGTATAATATAATATTATAACCGAATTGGATTACCAAATAAAAACCTGAATAAAAAACCAAATAAAAAAGTCCCTCTTACAAATTCTATTTTCCGTAAAATATTCTTGGTAGTCTCTTAAAGACTTTTACGGCTTTTAGGTTGACGAACTTTATTCCGAAGAAGTTTATCATGAAGATTTTTCTGATCATGTTTCAGTAGTTAAAGACCCGGACTACGTACCTGATATGTCTGACGTGAGCAAGAAGAAACTGAACAAGTAGAAATGGTTCCTAACATAGTGAATGAAATACAACTTTCTGTATTACAGACGGATTTAAACGACATAAACGTTGAAGTTCAACAGAACGGCCGAAAAAGAAAACGTAACGTAGATCTCTGGAAAACGAGCATACGAAAAGTAAAAAAGGAAGCAGGTAAAGAATATACTAATAAAAAAGGCGTCTTGATCGCAGCTAAACATTTGAAACCTCCATGTATGCCATCATGTATCAGAAAGTGCTCAGAGAATATAGATGAAAATGCTAGACTCAATATATTCAACAATTTCCACAAAAAGGGCAATAGTAATGATCTTAAACGTCAGTTTATATCTTCCTGCGTTTCAAAAATTATTGTTGCTCGCAAAACAACTAATAATGCTTCGAAGAGAAATTCAACCATGATTTATAGTTTTGAATTCAATGGTAGAAATATTAAAGTGTGTAAAACCTTCTTTCTAAATACACTAAGCATTTTTGAAACATCTGTGAAAACTGCACTGGCTAAAAAAGTTGAAGGTGGTTTAGTTTTGCCAGATAAAAGAGGAAGAAAGACACCAAGCAATAAAGTTGCAAATAATAATTGGGAAACAATACGTGAGCACATAAAAAGTTTCCCAGTGGTTGAAAGTCATTATAGTAGGGCAAAATCTGCCCGAAAATATTTAGGGAATGAGCTTAATTTATCAAAAATGTTTTCATTATATCTTGAGGACTGTAAGCAAAAGAAAATTCATGAATCTGATATAGGAAAACAGTGGTTGTACAACCAAATTTTTAACATGGAATTCAATTTGTCATTTAAATTACCAGCAAACGACACCTGTGACCATTGCGATGAATTAAAAATAAACATAGAGAATGCCAATGAAGAAAATAAACAGGAGTTACAGGCTAATTTGGAAGCTCACTGGGCAGAAGCCCAACGAAAGAAATTGTAATAATGACTGATCTGCAGAAGTGTTTGCCAACACCTTATTTGACAAACACACATTCTTTTTATTTAAGAAAATTATGGACTCTCAACGTAACCATTCTAAATAGTACCAACGGAAAAGCCCACTGTGCTATGTGGGATGAAACAGTTGGGGCACGCGGTGCTTGCTAAGTCTCCTCCTGTATTTTGAAGTGGGGACTCGATAATATTGCTACTGGTGATACAGAAACATTAACTATTTGGTCAGATAATTGCGGAGGCCAAAACAGAAATTTTACTGTGGTTGCAAGCTATATTTGGTTACTTAGAGTATTGCCATCATTAAAAGTCATCAATCATAAGTTCCTTCTTCGAGGACACACCTATATGGAGGTAGATGGAGTGCACTCTGTTATTGAGCGTCCTAAAAAACAAATTAGTAATTCAACTACATTGATGACTCCGTGGGATTGGCAACAGTTCATACGACAGTGTAAATTTAAGGATCTTTTAGGTGTTTATGACATGACCATCGAAGACCTAACAAATTTTAAGGTTCTGTTTGATTATGTAGAATCTCCTTTAATTAGTAAAAAAAAATACTGAAAACGAAGATTTTAAAATCAGTGAAGTCGTACATTTGCAACTAAGGAAAGGAGAAGAAATTCTTTATTATAAGACGTCTTTTTCCCAGGAAAGCTTTAAAATGGTAGATCTGGGCAGGGGCACCAGAAGAGCAAAGTGGCCTGAATATATTCCACAGACAAATGCTACTAGAAGACCAATAAGCACTTTAAAGTACAAAGACCTTATAACTTTATTAAAGTGGGTACCACAGTGCTTCCACCATTTCTATGAGAGCATTCCTCACTCTACAAGTACAAATGACTTGTAAAAAGCAGACGGAAACTTTTAAAATTATGTTAAGTATTTATTATTATAAATAAATAATTTAGTTTTTTGATAACACCACGTTATTTATTTATTTTAATTATTTTTGTCCATTTCAGATTAATCGCAACTACTTTAACATAACAGTTAAATTTGAGGTAAACTATCGTAACTGCTCCCCTTGACTAACCGGAAACGCGATGAAGTTCTAAATAGTTTTGTATATTATTTGAGCATAAATTTTGTAAAAAAAAGTTAATTTTAGTCCGCCCAATTAAATTGATACTATCAAAAAATTGTATAATATAGGGACCAAAATGTTTGAGACCCGTTTCTGGCAAATACTGAAAAGTGTAGTTACGACACTTTACTTCTAGGGTACAGAAATATAGGTGAAAAAGACGAACTAACCGTTAGCATTTTGGATTTTTATAAATATTTTAGTCGTGACTGGGGTAACCTAATTTATTACTTGCACAAATTTATATCCAAAATGAAACGAAAACAAAAATGAAAAGCGAAGAATGTTTCCTACAACGACAGCAGAACAACTAGTGTTGCCTCAAATTTTAAGAAGAAAATCAAAGGGACTACAATGGGAAACAAAACAGTGTATTGAAAAATGGTTACAGGAAGTTTAACCACACAATAAAAAGCAAAAACTAGACAAACCTCCAGTTTTAAGAACACAAAGGTGTCACATGTGCCCAACAAAAAAGGTCAAAAAACAAAAATAAATTTGTGAAATATGCAGTAGAAATGTGTGTAACGATCACCGTATAATTAAAAAAAATTGTAAGTATTGCAATAAAGAAAAATGAATGACTAATCTATGGCTTTTTTTATTTTTATTTTTTTTTAACCCAAAACTTAATAGTAATTCAATTTGTCATATAAATTTGCTATTTTAGTTGGGAATAAGCTAATCTTGTGGCTTAGTCCCAACTTAAATAGTAAATTGATATGACAAAGTATTGTATGACAAAATTTGTAAAAGTAAAATAACAATATTCTTCTGACTGATGTGTTTTATTCATTTTGTAAAGATTGTATTTGTCGGTACTTTATACATGAGCTGCTAGTTACCATATTCTTGCCTCAGAAGGGTTTTCACATAATAATAAAAGGCAACAACACCGTAATCTTTTTCCAGAGTATGTGTAAACATCAAACCCTCTTTTCAAATGAAATGGCCTGATAGATTTAAAAAAGTTTGTATTTATTTATTAATTAAGTCTTTATTTGGCTTCAAATGTTTATTATTTGTGAATAAATATTTTGTCTACAAAAGTTTTCTTACATTTCATTATTTTGTGCAAATCCTTTAGGTAGATCGTACCCTTGAGGTAGACCGCATACTATAGTAGCACTTTCTTTTAATCTAGATAATTTAAATTTAACAATAAAAAATAAAAAAAAATATTAGAAATATGTGGGTAAATATTAATAGTACATTCAAGAACAGTGGTGGGCCTAACGGACCCGAGTTGCTCGATTACGTAAGTAAAGTGTGTTAGCCGGATAAGGGTTGAAAAAATAGTCTATCACGGCTCATATTGATCGCAGCAATTTTTTAAAATTGTATATAGGTCTTAACCAGATAATAGAAAAAAGATGGCACGAAATCAAGTATGTTGTTCGTCGACCTACGGAAAGCCTACGACAGCGTTCCACTGAAGAAGCTGTGGCAATCAATGGACAGCACGAATATTAATATAGAATTAATAAAAGTTGTCAAAGTGCTATACAACCAACCAATAACAAAAATTAAAGCAGTAACACAAATAACAACAGGATTTATAACATCAAAAGGATTTAAGCAAGAATGTGGTCTGTCCCCCACTTTATTGGGGCTTGGTGCGTTAAAAAGATGGAATCAAAAATGCAGGACAATGGGGTACCGCTCACCAACACTATGATATATACGCTCAACTTTGCAGACGATCAAGTAATAATGGCTGAAGATTAAAATGATTTAAACTACAGTCACCGGCAAAATTAACGGAACGCCTTAAAAATGGGACATGTTACATGTCTCGAATTTCCTAAACTTGTTGTCCGATTTTAGTGATTTTTTTAGAATGTTATAGTTATATTATATAAGAATGTTGATGTAATAATATTGTTACTAGACAATGTCATTTTTCGGAACACCCTGTGGAATATTCTAGCAGATAAAAAATATTATTCTAGCTATATTCTAGCATATAATTAAAACTAAATTATAACCTCAGGCTTTCTTAACATTTTCTTTTTTGATTCATTTGCTTGTGTTTGATAATAAAAAAGATAGGTATGTTAACAACTAGCCATGTTTTTCATCAATAAATCCCCATTTTCTGCTTAGTTTAATAAACAAGCCTAAAGTAGGCTATGAGAAGCTAACAATTTAATACACACACCCGCAAATTTAAAGGAACAAGTTATTATGAAATATTTCTTTATATTTATATTTTATAGACTATATCTACATAGCTTTGAATGCTCCTTGTGACAAGAAAGTCTTAAATGTCAAAATGTCAAATTAATTTGTTTATTTGTATTGTGTTTTATATTTTACAGTCGTTCTGTCTGTTGATATCAAGTACAAACTTATATTTAATTGATAAGTTAATTTGTTTGAGTTTGTTGGATGTCAATTTTCTTTTAATTTGTTCTAATCAGTGGTGTTCTTATTGAAAACATTAAGTAAAAATGGGTGATTTAATACCGACTGATATTGTTAGGGCCATAACAATGGTCGAACGTACAGGGAAGTTGCTGGAATATTTGGTAAATCACCATGAACCATCCATCGTTGTGTAAGTCGTGGGAGACAAACCGGGGAGTATGTAAGAAGAAGGAGATAAGGTAGAAAACGTTTAACCACGGTTGTAGATGATTGATTTATAACGTTGCAAACATTACGTAGTAGACGTCAAACGGGAGTTCAAACCAAAAACCTGTTACAAAATGTTCGTGGAACTACTATAAGTGAGCGCACAGTAAGAAGGAGACTTAAAAGCCGGTCTCAAGTCATATGTGCCAATAAAAGGTCCCAAACTTCAGATACACCATCGTTTAGGACGACTACAATTTGATCGAGTACATCAAAATTGGAATGATAACCACTGGAGTCAAATTCTCTTTACGGGCGAGAGCCGTTTCTGTGTAAGTTACATCGACTGTGGAGAAAGACTGTATCGAAGCCAAGGAGAACGAAATGTCCCTTTCAATTTTACTAAGACCGTACCTTTTAGAGGAGGTTCAATTATGGTGTGGGGCGGTATATGTTTGGGAACAAGAACAGAGTTAGTGGTGATTGATGATGGAGCATTAACAGCAGATAGGCATATCACAGATATTCTCTAAGACCATGTGGTATCTTTTGCAACATATATTGGCGAAAATTTCATTTTAATGCAGGATAATGCGCGCCCACATGTCGCAGGCTGTGTAAGAGATTTCTTATTACAAGTAGGTATAACAACGATGAATTGGCCAGCTTGTTCCCCAGACCTTAATCCGATAGAGCAATGGGACATGCTAGGCCGAAAGCTTAGGGCACCGGTTCCTGCTATTCAAAACAGAGAGGAAGTCAAAATTGCTTTGATTGAAGAATGGAAGAGACTGCCGTAACAACTGATCGATAGCGGTATCAGAAGTATGAGAAAACGAATAACTGTAGTTGTAAGGGTTCGTGGGGGAATTACACGCTATTAAAGCCAAAAAAAATGCATAAAAAAAATCAATTTAAGTTCAAACTATACAATAAAGTTAATGTGTTTAAAATCCGTACTTTGTTTTAGTCTGACATCTTTTGTTTTATTTCTTCTTAAACAGGTTTTATATTGTACTACCATTGTAATATAAATTCAAAATACTTCACCAACTATCGTATTATGATATTATCTAAACAATATTAACAATATGTAGACTAGAAAGAAAATACTCGGATTTTATGGTTGTTCCTTTAAATATGCGGGTGAAACTAAGCAGAAAATGAGCATTTATTGATGAAAAACATGGCTTATTGTTAAAGTACCTAACTTTTTTATTATTCAACACAAGCACATGAATCAAAAAAGAAAATGTTAAGAAAGCCTAAGGTTATAACTAAGTTTTAATTTCAATATTTTATATATGCTAGAATATTCCACAGGGTGTTCCGAACTTTAAGAAAAAAACAGAGTATGATTGTTATACCCGGTATAAAATGACACTGACATGTCTAGCAACAATATTATGCCATCGATATTCTAAAATTATATAACTATAAGATACTAAAAAAATCACTCAAATCGGAAAACAGGTTTAGGAAATTCGAGACATCTAACATGACCCATTGTTAAGGTGTTGCGTTAATTTTGCCGGTGAGTGTATGTGGCACGAAAATTAATTAAAGAGTATGACATATGGAGTCTAGACGTAAATAGAAAGAAAACCGAATACCTGTAGATTGGAGTAGAACAAAAAGATTTCATATTAGACGATAACACCACGATAAAGTACTGCTGTAACAACATATATCTAGGTATCACTATTATACAAGATGGAACATTAGACAAAGCCATAAGAGAGAGAAATTACTTTATGGAGAAAAGCCATCACAATGTTAAACATTTTATGGGACCAATCCATCAGCAAAGGAAATAAGAGGATATATGGTACAGCTATGAGGTATGGGCACTGAAAGAAGGAACACTGGCAACGCTGAAAATGACGGAAATGGATTTTTGTAGAACAGCCAAAGGAAAATCTAGAAGAGAAATGATTACCAATGAAGGCATTAGAGAAATAATGGGAATCAAACGAACAATTACACATGATCTAACAACAAAACAACGTATCTGGTTCGGACACATACAAATAATGGATAAACAACGAATACCAAAAGAAATATTAAAATGGCAACTAGAAGAAAAGAGAAAACGAGGTAGACCGAGAAAAAGTTGGAGCGAAGGAATACATAAAGAACTGAGAGATAGGGCCATAGAAGAAGACATATGGAACAACCAAACTAAGCTTTAAACGTTAAAAAAATAACCACATTTTTAATATGATAATTAAGGGGAAAATACTCTTAAGGTTTTGTTTTATATCATAGTGAAAAAACATATTGTTTAAAGAAAAAAATATGCCTTGAATTAACTCTCTGCTATGTTTGTTTTCCAAAAAGTTAGCAAATCTAAGCAAAAAATGAAATAAACCTGTTTTACGAAGTCTCATTTTATTGGAAATTGGAAGTTTCTTAATCTCCAATATATCAAAATTTATTGCACACGAATTATTACAAGCAATATGGCCATTTTCGTAAAGCAATGTTTTTAAAATTTAAGCGCTAATTGAGCTAGTTATGTAATAACAATTAAACAAAATTAAACATATAAAAGCTTAAATTAAATCTCATCTCATGTACTTTTATGATTGTATAGCTATATTTTAAAAGTCACGTACTTTGGGCTCGTGGCAACAACCTAAATCAAAAAGTTTACATTTTACTCCTTCAACGTCTCATTAATAAATAACCATGAATTTGCTTTTGCACCCAGTGCGAAGTTATTTCTGATCACCCTTTTTAACACAGATGAGATTTTAAAAATTCACTAAAAAGTACAACACAAAATTAATTTCACTCACAGCCTAGGACAGGAAGATTCGCCACTGATGTAACAAAAAAAACTTGAGTCCAAATATGAATATCAGGAGAAGATCTTAATCGTCAATTATTAACACTTAAAAAATAACACTAACTTCCTTAAGATAAGTGGATAGTATTCTTTATTAATGAAGGCTATGTTATTTGTTATAATAAAATAGCCTTTTTATGAAAATAAAATTTTGTCACTTTAGTAAAAGTGTTAAATTTTAATTTGAAACATATTTTATTATCTAAAAATTATCACTTTTATTATTTCTATAAAATTTAACAGTCTTTTTAAGTTGGTAACCTTGAGTATTGCAAAAAATGTGTCACTTTTATCCGCATTTACGCGACAAGATTTAAATATTTATATTTTTAATAATATGGTAGGAGTAACCTCTCTATTATCTTTAACGTTCTAATTATTACAAATAACGTACCTTGAAGTCCATTTTAAAGTGCAACAAAGCCGTGACACATACTAAAGCCTATGTTACCCTTTTACAGTTTTATATCTCGCCAGTATGCAACCTTGTAGGAATGCACTAGGCGAGCCTAAGTTTGATATACATAACGATCATATTAAATAACTGAATAAGTAATAGACGAAATTAAAATAAGATGTATTATATTACTGTTACTATACAGGATAGATTACTTGTACGAAGTAGATCGAAAGAATGAAAAACAGAACTTTTTCACAATTAGTAGATATTAAAATATACAAATCTAAATTTATGGAAACAAATTTAATATCAAATCTGTGTAGGATATTTAAAGAACACTTATAAATATTTAAATTTATAAAAAATGCAGCATCTTTCGCTAGACATTGTATCGATTTATCTATCTATATATTAGTCATTATTCTTTGTC